CGCTCGCGCTAAAACTATAAGAAAACTCTAAAAAAGTAAATTTCATACAAACTTTCATCCACTATTTTACCCCCATGCTAAAACATGTATTTATTTAATTGTATTGAAGATCATTAATACCAAGTTTCAAGTAATTCTGATCATAAATAATTTTTAGCCTATGTCACTCTCTAGCTCTCCAACTATCTCCACACAAAAAATCACGCCAATCCGTCACGCCGTTTCGACGTGAAAGAAGAACAAATAAACAAACACACTTTCACATTTATAATATTAAGTATGGATATTACTCGTAAGATCTTCTATGTTCATTGTTTTAGTTGCAATTTAGTAAGGAAGTAGCCATTTCAGCTACTATAGTTAGTGGATGATAGTTAAATCGGGTGTAGTTGAAAGCATTCAAGTACACTTAAAGCTTGGCGTTAGAAACTTTGCCATGTGTGAGAATTTAAATGAGACGTCTTTTATACGTCTACTCATATAGTAATATCATTTTCTTGCAAGCATTTCTTGAACGCAGTGTATTTTGCATACTCTGTCTACGGAGAAATAGGTATATTACGTATACTTACATAACTAGCGACACACCCTCGTTTCCCTTGGGTTCGTCCTTAGGTTGTTTCCCCATACAAATTTTCATCCCCATTTTCACCCCTTTAAGAAATTACTTCCGGGATAGAAACCTGTCCTTCCATGTCCTATCTTCTTACCACATCTAAATCGGTCCAGTATTTTCGGAGCTTATACAGTAAAAAATCTTTTGTCTTTATAAATTATTAGTATAGATAAAGTGAGCGAATCTACTATCGTTTCATCTAGAGCTTCGACCAACCATATTTTTTAACTTTTTAGTCGCGTGGGATGTCTCTCAATATAAAAAATGACTGACGCATACACATAAAGCAATTAAGGAGTGAAACAAAAAGTAACTTACAGAAAAACACTCGCTTTTATAATGAAAGGATTACTCAAAACTAGTATCAATGTGTCAAATATACATATTTCTTTAGTTATAACAATCTATCGGATTTTTCAGCTATCTACCAAAATCAAATGATAACTGTAAAAATGAAGGCAGCTTACTTTGTCGCCATTTTCACAATTTTATGTTTCTAATATATAATTTTGTTATTTAATTTAAGCAATTAAATTAGGCATTCAAAAATAACTCTCGTTAATGAGTTTTGCAAAGAAACAATTTTTTTCCATCTATCCCTGTAGAGTTTTAATTAAAATTTGCTTCAACAAATTTAATCAAATTACTCTTTGTTAGCAATTGTCTGTGACACAGAATGACGCAATCATTTTAATTTTATATAATCTGTCAAATTTGAAGGGGTCTCGCGCACCCAAGGTTCCAAGGTACTATCAGCTACAGCTACAAATGACTTGATACCGACCGAATATGACCGAATTCATGGTGATGGAGGCGGGATACCAAATGGTTACTACCATCATAAAGTTTCTCCGACCCGGTTCACTACCCCTTTATACCTCATATAGGGCTTCCAGAATTGCGAGCAGCATGATAGGTACAAATGAACTACGCAATATAAACTATAAAAGATACATTACAATACATTAGAATTGAAAGTTAAATTCAAGTTATCTATCTAATAATGATATACAAACTTAAAAACTTCAAAACTATCGAAAAGAAATACTAAAATTAATTTAACACATATTCTGACTTTTTTACTGCTGGGCACGGGCCTGCTTTCAATACGAGAGGAATCAGGCCATAGTCCACCACGCTGGCCAAGTACGGGGCGGATTTGACATGTCTTTCGAAGATTTGTTAAGTACTCTTAGACATGCAGGTTTCCACACGATGTTTTCCTTCACCATATGACAAGTGGTAATAATGTTTTGACTCGCGTGGTAGTAGACTCATGACGTTCAGTAAAAAAATGTAATAATTTAATGCTGAATAAAATATTTTGATTTGATTTGATGATTCGCACATAAAAATATCAGAGGTAGAAGACCCGGGATTTGAACCCGCTTCACTCGATTTCCCAAGTGAGCGCATTACCGTTGAGCTACCACCGCCTTTAATTTAACATATCTAGCCTCAATTATTACCCTTAAAATCTAATATAGCAGTATCTTCTACAAATTATATATCATGACGTGCTGCAGTGAATTAAAATACACGCTAACATGCACCTTGCTTGTAACCTACTCTGAACTGGGGCATCAAAACATGAGCTGTTAGGCTTCAACCACATTGTGCAGATATAATATCGTAAGGTTTGTTTATTTGTTTGAGCATACCAAGTTAGTCTGTTAGTTTAACTGGTAACTTCATGTAATACTCGTATTTGTGTTCGTGTATGTAAATTCCGCTTATAATTTCTAGGATATGTATTGAATTTGTGGAGGCGAACGTTCCCAGCTATGTTAGAACTGAATGGCATTGGCTTTCTGAATTGGAGGAATTAAAAATGTTTCGTCATTCCAATATTAGTACCTGGGCCACCGAGCTTTGCTCGGAGTTTTTGGTTAAAAAGTACAATTTTCTTTTAAAAAACACTAAAAACATGAATACCAAAAAAAAGCAAAAAAAATTATACCGGGATTCGAACCCGGACACCTATGATTGTCAATCTTGAGTCTCTTTGTTTAAAAAAAACTAATTTCAGAACTACAATTTAATAAAGGTGCTGGTATATATATATAGATAAAAGAATAGCTCGTTTAAATATATAAGATAAATGTGAAGGTTTATGAGGATGGATGGATGTTTGTAAGTCTTTCACGCAAAAACCACTAAACAAATTTTAATTAAACATTACAGTAAGATTTTATAACAGAGTTACACATAGGTTATATTTTTTAAAGATATAGTAATACATTATCGATATAAGCTTGCTTGCTTTAAAAACCCCCTGACTTGCTATCTCTGTGCTATCTTGCCAGAGAAAAACTATACTTTTATTTTTCAAATATTTTTTATATTACTATCTCTTGGAAATTACCAAAATTAAAGGAGTTATAAAGGACGAAAGTGTTCCTTCTTACCACCACAACAATCTGCTATGAAATTGAACAACAATAAAGCACAACTATTTTCGCATTTGTTCCCAGTAATAGAAATTGAATCATAATCATTATTGATTAATTTATATATATATATATATATATATACATATATATATATATATAACCAACATTCTTGATTGATAATAATAAAGCTCGTCAATAGCTACTAAGCAAAAAAATATCATTTAACAAACAGAGAAGGAAAAGGCGCTGAACTATTTTGTGTTTACCTATTTATATATATATATATATATACTAGCATTGCCCGCGGCTCCGCCCGCGTTCAGATGACCATAAACCAAATTCTTAGGTTTTACATATTAGTATACTCTTACATTGTAGTTTTTGTATTTTTTCTCAGAAATGAAATATTTTCCCGCGGTAAAAAGTATCCTATATGTTGACCCGGATAACAAGCTATCACTATACCAAATTTCATCAAAATCCCTCCAGTGGTTTTTCTGTGATACGGTAACAGACAGACAGACAAAAATTCTAAAAATTATAGATTCGGCCTCTATATCGATAATAATGTATATTTCAATAATATTTTCCAAAAAAATATTTAATGTACAGATTCGGCTTAGTTACAATTTTATTATATGTATAGATGAAGTAGGTAAGTATTTTAATATATAAATGAAAATGCAGAAATATAGATTTCGTGTGTAAAAGCTTAAAAAAGTGCCGAGAACTAAATAAGGTTGATTAGAATATTTTGCAGCGCCAGTTTTACGGCGTGACTTACCTACGAGTACATATACTACCCGCCTTCAGTATGCTGTTTCGTTAAACGTAAAATGATTATGTAATATGTTTCAATCTGTTTTAAATTTTCTATTGAAGCTTTTAAAATGGATTAAGCTATTTATGACAGCGATTATTCAGTTAATTACTAATTTTTTAGTGTTGCTATTATTATATTATGTATAACCATAAAGAACATTAAAAGCAATGTGATTAATATTTTAATTTAAATTAATATTTTACCTTCTTTTAAATTATATATAAAACAATAATATTGCTTACATCAATAATTAATATTTTTTATGTTTTAATATTCTTTAAGTTTATACATAAATAATATAATAATAACAACACTAAATGATATTAGTAATTAATAATTTTTTTTTAAATTGTAATATTTATAATAATAACAGCTAAAATTAAATTAATAGTATTGCTATATTTAATTATAATACTTATTAAAAAAAATAACATGTTTAGAAATAAAAATCAACATATATTTGTAGGGTAATTTATTGCCATTTTTTGAATTTTTGAAATCATTTTTGTAAAATAGTGGGCAGGCACTGTCTGTAACAAGTATGTGTTTGAGACGTTTTCGATTACGTCTCGTATTACCTCAGTCTCTCCCGTGACCATAGATGCTGTAAAGCATTCGAAACGTCGGGAACCAAAAATCAAAATAAATCCGCGAAATAATCCGAAAAGATAGCTTTATTTAAAATCTATACATATAATAAAATTGTATGTATGTATTTTTTTGGTTTTTTTTTGAAATAGATATAGACATTATTATCGATACAGAGGCCGAATCTATAGTTTTTAGAATTTTTGTCTGTCTGCCTGTTACCGCATCACAGAAAAACCACTAGATGGATTTTGATTAAATTTGGTATAGTGATAGATGGTTATCCGGGTCAACATATAGGATACTTTTTACCGCGGCAAAATGTCTCATTTCTGAGAAAAAATACAAAAACTGCATTGTAAGAGTATACTAATATGTAAAACCTAAGAATTTGGTTTTTGGTCATCTGAACGCGGGCGGAGCCGCGGGAAATGCTAGTGTCAAATGTTTGTGTAAATCTAAGAAAGTATTAAACTTTTAGTAATTTTACAAAGTAGGCCACATATCAACGTTATTTACGTATGGATAATATTTCAACATCGTCGACAATACTTAATAAAGAATTTTTATGTTGTTACAGACCGCGAGTGTCCTGAGTTAGAACAGCCAGAGTTAGGAGAAGATTCCCTTACCGTCACCCTTACTGGGAGACTGTTTGGTGATAAGTAAGTAGAAAGTCCAGTAGAAAAATCCCAAATATTAAAAACTAGCGACTCACCCTCGCTTCGCTCGAGTTCCGGCTTGTTTCCCCATACAAACTCTCATCCCCATTTTCACACCTTAAGGAATGATTTCCGGGATAAAAAGTATCCTATACCCTTCCCAGAGTCTCAAACTATCTTCTTACCAAATATCATTTAAATCGGTCCAGTAGATCCAGAGATTATCCCCTACAACGTCACAAACTCACAATCTCACAAACTTTACCTCTTTATTATATTAGTATAGATAGATATTTACATAAGTAAATAACTATAATTACTATTTACCTTAAAAGGTACATTCATTCAGATTTCAAAGTAACTAAATGTAATTTTTCTAGCACTAACGATTTTTCTTGAAATCTAGTAATTTTTATTGTAATTTGTCATTTTGATGGCCAAATTTAATAGAAATCACGATCCCTTGTAGCATGACATATTCAATTGACGAAGACATGGCATAATAACCACCTAAAAAAAACACACCTTCTTGAAATTTGTTAGTTCTAAAAAAATCTAATTTAAACATAAATTCATAATCAGAAGACTTGATAATTATAATCGTCGAGGAATAGAAATAAAAATTGAATTTAAATGATAAATACAAACGCTATATTAAAAAAAAACTATAATAATTAACAAAATTCACCCTCAAAAAAGTTACTGGAGCTTTAATTACAAATGAGTTTTAATAAAAATGAATAAACGAATATCAAATATTACATTTTTCAGCGAATATTTTATAAATGAGACTAAGATATTAAAATATTTTCATTTTGAAAAAATAATGAAAGAATAAGAATGTAATTAATATTATTATTTATTTAACTTAGCTACAGCTTAACTCAGCTACAGCTGTGAAGTTGTAGGGGGTAATCCTTGGATCTACTGAATTGAATTAGATGAAATTAGGTAAGAAGATAGTTTGAGACCCTGGAAAGGACGTAAGGTAGTTTTTATCCCGAAAATCATCCCTTAAGAGGATGAATATGGGGATGAAAGTTTGTATATGGAAGCAATCTATAGGGACGACCCCGAGCGATAGGGTGAGTCGCTAGTTCTTCTTATAAACATTTATAGGGACTGCTCACTTTGGCTCTTTATAAGCGATTAAATCCAAAAACAGTCTATATAATCATACAACTTAAATATCTCCTTCTTGTTGTAGTCAAAAGTAACCTTAGATACCACTAAAGATAATAAATATGAAAATTCTCAGAGCTGTGTACTCCTGTCCTCACGGCTACCACGTCGTAGGCCTGCAGTCCAGGAGTTGTCAAGCTGATGGCAAGTGGGCGGGACAGGCGCCAGCGTGCAAGAAGAACAGTAAGTTTTATATTTAAACTAACGTCTCACCCTCGCTTTGCTCGGGTTCGTCTCCAGGGTACGTTTTAACGGTAGTAGGAATAGATAGACTATATATTTAGTTTTGCGAGATACTGAGACCGAGAGATAAAAAAAGGCTTATCATATATTATATTCACTCTCCATCATATGAACTCCTTCAATTCGAAACAAAAAAAATTGTCCTCACCGAATGAGCGCTCATTTGAACAATTGAGCGCGCTTTTAATTATTTTTTTTGTATAAACAACTTTAAGCATTACATTTAAGGTTCAATATACATTGTTGTATATTTATTTCAACTAGAATAATTACCTAAACACAATTGGTCACAGTTTTAAGAGAAATTTTGCATGGGATTGTGTATCTATTACTTTTTTGACCGACGTTCACAACACATAAATGCCTTTCACTTTTATCATAAAACTAGTAGTCATATAGTTTATTTATGTACAGTTGCTCTATCTTAATAAAAATGATATTGGAAGAATAATGAATCCGAATCTATAGTTTTTAGAATTTTTGTCTGTCTGGGAATGCATCACGAGAAAACCACTGGACCAGTTTTGATGGGTATGGTGATAGCGATAGGTCAACATATATGATACTTTTTACTGCGGAAAAAATATCTCATCTTTGAGGAATTTATACTAAACGTTGAAACGTACTTGAGTCGCTAGTTTAAACATTATATTTCCAATTAATATAGTAGTTCATTCAATATTTGCCATCCATCTAATATCTTCTGGGGTTACGCTTCTTTCTGTACCAATTATCGTCATAATTATTGCATCAAAGTTGAGAAATTAATTATGAAATCCCAAGAGGTAGTTAAGACAGCAATCAATTGTCTCTCGGGAATCGTCATTATTTAGTGGTTGATTCGCTGACCCTTCTCTATATCTATGTATATTGTATATCTATATTCTATCTGTAGGTAACACTACTTTGACTTACCGTTTTGTGGTACTTCGATAAAAAGTATCATATGTTTTAATCCAAGGTATAGGATATTACTGCGGGGACAGGTTTTCCATAGGTTTTAATGGGCAGGAGTATCACAGTCCCCTGCGTATTGACGGTCAGCGGGTACCCCATGATAGGTTTCCCTTGCGACATTACAAAAAGATATAAACTATCTTCATTCCAAATTTCACTTAAATCCTTTAAACCATTGCAGCGTGAAGATGCAACAAACAAACATGTACACATTCACACACAGTTACAATGTACTATATTATTGGTTTAATGGAATAAGGCAAATTTATTTCTTTCGGAAGCTAACTACTAAGTTCTTCTTAAATTCGCCTTTGGAAATAAGCATTTATAACATTTCGAAGTGTAATGTGTATCCAACACATTGATATATAAAACATAGATACATATTGCCTAAAAAATATCTCTTCAAAAAGTGGCGTCGACATGTCCACGTTTGGTAACCACAGAATAAAATTCAAAAATTGCAAGTGTTTAAACACAAATTCGAACTTACGCACACAACATATAGTAATTTTTTAAACGAAACAATTTTCTTCTCAGTATACTGCCTCCAGCCTCCAACAATTGAACACGCTCGTCACTCCGCTCTACCAGAGCAAGCTACATTCGACCTGGATGCCACGATTCAGTACAACTGCCACACCGGCTACGTAACCAATGGATTCCCTCGGGCTAAGTGCCTGGCTATTGAAGGACAAGCGTCTTGGTACGGACCGGATATTACTTGCGAACGTAAGTTGATAATATTTCACAAATTTGCTTTTGTTATATGATTTTGAGGATTGTGATTGCCATTATTTGGATATTTGTTCAATAAAATCATTAAAATATTATAAACTAAACTAGCAGAATCATTAAGCAGACGTTCTTCTGCCACAGAACTTGTTTAGTCGGATAACTGCAACAATGCTTAGCTATGTGCATTAAAATATAAACACATTCACATTTCCAGCCCGATCCTGCGGAGAACCAGGGGATGTCCCCCACGGTTGGGTGACAGCGGAATGCCACACCTACGCTTGTAGAGCTGTCGTGCAATGCGGTCAGGGTTTCGAGCTGGTCGGCAAACCAGATCGCTACTGTCAGGCTGAAGGAGTCTGGACACCTAAAGAACTACCCACCTGTGTCCGTAAGTGACATAAATTAATTATAACTTTTATGGTTTTAGTGATGAGTCTAAATAATGTGAACTGTACAAAGACTAATATGGAGGTTAGTTAAATTTTGTAAAATTATATACGGGACTCATGTTTGAAGTTGGTATATTTGATAATGTACTATTAATTAAGTTTAATATTTCCGTAACGGATAATTAGGCTCATCAATAAAACCCAATTTAAGACCTTACTGCGTTTGGCATTGCTTCGTGACAATGTAGTTGCCGATTTCAGTGTCGTTCATTTGGAATGTTGCATGGTTTTCGAATTCTCGTGAATCGTATATCTAAATGTTTTCGGTGACTAGTTGGCATGGCGCTTGGTATTTAAATATTATCATGGCTATCATCAGCAATATCATTGTCATGACGCAATTGGATCGGATCTCCCACTTGAATAATTTCTATTGATTTCTTGATCTATATAAACTATTTATATATACAGTTTTATCAAAACAGCTTATGTAATAATATTTTTTTAATATTTTAACTTTATACGTTCTTTAACGTCAATGGTATAAACAATTTATTTATCTTCTGTAATACCTTCTCTTAAATTATTAATTTCATTTCTCATTTTATCAAAATATGGATATCCTATGAAAGCAAGTGGGACGTCCTAAGAAACTGAGTTATGATTAATAAATTTAAAATCGTTTTTTCTCCTTTCCTGCTGCTAAGAAGGAGATAAGGGGACAGTTTGAATTAATTGTGTAGTATTGTTACAAATATAGAATCGTTATTCTATAATGTTAGCGCAATCTTTCCAAAAAAAAAAACAAAATTTTCATGGCCATGGTAACCAAATTATGACAAATACCTTACTGCCTTTAGCCTAAAGTTATTGCTCCTTGTATGTAGATGGATTTATGATATTTGTAGATGAGGCTTCGATGTTGAATTTATTGTAAATTTCTTATCTCTTATATCCATTTCTTCTTGGAGTATCTCGAATTTACTGTGCTGTAGCGAAATAAAGGTAAAGAAAATATCATTGTTTTATTTAAATATCGCATGTGGCTTCCTTTTTTGTGCATGATTACACTTTTATACTAAAATTTTATTATTTATAATACTGGTTATCAACTTAGTCTTATGATTAATAATTGAAAGACTTACAGCATAAAAGGGTTGGAAATGACGGTCTTCATTAAGTCGCATTTAGGTAATGTTATTAGATTATTTATAATGTACAGAGAGTTTAGAAATATTTATGTGAAATAATTGTATCATAATCAGAACTACTATCATGAACTTTACTATCTATATAGAATCCAAATCTGAAAAAAAATTAAATTACCAAATATTTTCGTAAATCTAGGAAAGTATTATAGAATCATAAGACTTAAAAATTGTAATGATTATTTAAAAATAAATGTTAAATAATGATTTTTTAACAAAAAAATCAATAAGCATATTTTCATTGAAAAAAGAAATAATACCCTACGAAAAATCTAGGAAGTAAATTTACATCATTATTTAAATAGGAGTGAGTTATATTTCTCATATTTATGCTGAAGACTGAGTCTTTTAAAACCAAGAGTCCGTTAAAGCGACTCGTGTCGCCATCTAGTGGTGACGCAGGTGCAGTGCCCACCACCTGAAGCCCCACGACATGGGAAAGCAGTATACACGTCCTGCGCATACAACTCCGTTGTATCATATGAATGCAAATATGGATATCGCCTTGTGGGTGATGCGACGAGGAGATGCGGTGCAGACAAAAAGTGGTCAGGAACTCAGCCTGTATGCAAGGGTAAGTTTGAGAAATCATAATAAATTAATGACATGTATTTAAATACAATAATTATAACCACTATACTCATCTGTGTATTGTAAAAAATACATAATTTTTTTTAAGTCCGTACGCATTTCCAGAAATCAATTGCGGACATCCAGGACAACTGTGGAATGGTTGGCTCGAAAATATATCATCGGGTACAGGATTAGGAGCATCCATTATATTTAGATGCCAAGATGGAATGAAGATGGAGGGCAATGGATCTGCTATATGTCAAAGTGATGGAACTTGGAGTCATCCTTTACCACAATGTTTAGGTAAATTGTCCCAAAACAAATTTTCATGTACTCGTTCTTTGCGTATCTTCGTGATATCATTATTTTTTCATGAATAAATTAGTATAAGAGTTTTCTTAATGAAAACTTAACTTCATTTTTTGTTTGCTCTTTACTTTTCAGCACCATGTGTAGTTCCACATGTGTCACAAGGAAAAGTCGTGTTAATGGAAAACAGGACAGGAGAAAACGATACACAGGAACACACTCAAATAGTTGGAAGCTCTTCAATGGTGCAACATGGTATTGTATTTCTAATAATGGCAAAAGCTTTATTATTTGTTGTGAACAATATTTGTGTTGGCAGTAAAACCAATAAGAAATTAAAAAAATAAAATAATTTATCATTTCATTTTCTCTGCTTGAAAGTATGTTTTGTATTTGACTTTCATTATTGCATACTATTATAAAATTGATTGGATTTCAGGTGAGATGATTCTTGTTGACTGTGAAAAAAACTATGAATTTCCGTCCAATAACGTTGCTGTTACGTGCAATAATGGAACTTGGACTCAGATACCAAGATGTCAACCAGCGAGGTAAGCTACTGCAATATATCCAATAGTTCTTTTTTTTACCAAAATATGTAAAATATTTTTGATCAATAACTATTTTCTATTTAAAGGTGTAAAAAAATGCCCAAATTCCCTCGCCACGGTATGGTTGTAGCGCCTAAAACAGAACATGGTATGAAAGCTAGATTCCGATGTAAAGATGGATTTGAATTGAAAGGCAACCCAATTGTTGTTTGTTCATTTGGCGTCTGGAGTGGTGAGACTCCAAAGTGCGAAGAAGGTATGGAATTATCAGTTTATGTGAACTCATCTGTGGGATAATTGATGTTTTTAGATGATAAGCCTAAAAGTTGCGCGAATATTATTATGACTTTTTCGTCATGGGCTTGATAAATAGTATCTAGATTTATGCCTGTTAAGAATTTTTCAGAAATATAATGCCAACTGATATTAGACATGATCGTAACACTGGACATAAAACAGTTTTTATTTTCATTACAGTATTCTGTCCATTCCCTGGTTATATAGAAAATGGAAAAGTTCTTCTAGTAGGTAACATGGGGTTATACGATTACCGTCCATATGTTAAGAAGGTAGCTATTATATTCTTATCAATTTTTCCATTTTTGATAACTTTAATAAAAGCTTTTGGATAATATGTACAAAAATATATAAAGCGCTTCAATACAAGCATCGCTTGTTTTTTTAATAAATATTTATAAAAATATCACTCATAAAAACCTACAGGTATGTACTGTAAGTCATTTGACCTGTACATTTGTTGTATAAATTATATTTAAAGCATAAAAATAATAGTCGTAAAACGTATAGCAAGATAAAAGAAAATAACATTTTCTTATTCAATATTATATTTATTTTAGGTAGTAAATAATAAACAAATTATGTACGAATGTGAGAAAGGTTACGTATTGTCGGAAGGGCCACCGGGAGCTACTTGTGTTGGTGGTCACTGGAGTCCGAGGGAGCTCCCTAAGTAAGGCATACATATAAATTTTAATACTTATACAAATATCTATACTTGTAATTAATACGAACAATAATTAATTTAAAAAAATTAACTTGTAGATGTACACTTTATCAACACCCACGTATAAGATGGAGTCGGCGACGTAGATCTATTTCGGAATCAGAATTGCGACATAAAAGATCCACGTATTTACGCCAGTATTATAACAAAATACGAAGACAATCAGACCCTTCTCAAGAGCAAATGGATGAACTTTATGACAAATATAATCATGATAATCAAAAACCAACACTACGCCATGCTAACTTTAAGCTTATGAAGAAATACGATGTAGATTTCGAAGAAGATGATGACGTTATTGGTTCAGATGTACCTAGCGGAGAAAACTTTCCGACAGCTATTTATACGGTATATAATATACAGGGAGAACCCATAGCACATAAGTTTTATTCTTACCAACCAGTTTACGAACCTGAAGATGATGATTTAGTTCACCGTGTGGATTCATCTGAATATGAAGACTCAGAAGACCTAGAAAATGATTCTCATATTACAATATTAAAAGGTGGAATGTTTCCAGACCATGAGGTTGAGACCAACGAAATATCGGAAAATATAAATAAATTAAAACACCAATACTTTGAAAGATATGTAGACAAGAGAAGAAAAAGATTTTTAAGTAATAAAAGTACCGAAAATGTTAAGACAGACATTGATTTTGAACTAAATGCCACAGAAAGTAACGTACATTCAATAACACAAGTAAAAGAACACGCTAAGTCAAGACATAAACGTGACATAAACATAGAAGAATTTGATACGCAAGTGTCAACTGTCTCACAAGATCTAAAAGTAACTAGTGATATTGATTCAGATCTACTTAAAGTAATCCCGTTACCTATATCTAAAAATATAACACGAGAAATAGGAGAGAAGGAAATAGCGGTTTTACCACTACAATTTAAAAACACTAATTCTACAGAAGTGGAAAGGACCGATAAACGTGAAAAAAGAACGAGTAGAAAAACTGACAGGCTAAATCAAACTACAGCCAGTGTACCTAAAACGTAAGCAATACTCTTATTAAAAATATTGTATTCCAATTAGTAATAAATTAACTAAATTTTAAATGTATATACAATTTGAAAATTGCAGAGGACGAGAAGGCAAAGGTGGTAGAAATAGACAACAATCACAGTCAAGTAGTGAGGATGACAGAAATCAAAGCGTTGAGACAAAGGACGGTAATGAAAATGGTAATAAAACAGAAAAAGGCAAAAAAGGTAGACCAAAGAGTCCGTGTGAAGCAATTGAAAGCGAACCTTATGTAAATATAGAAGTTGTTAAGTATGGGCGTGATCCAAATAATACTTTTAGCTCTGGTAATTATAGTTATATTTTTTTAAGAATAAAATATTTTTACAGTATTATTTTACTTTCTTTTATATTATATAACTATTTTTAAAGGATTTAAAACTGTACAAAATCATGATATTTAATTGCTCTGGAATAATATTACAGGAACTATCGTCAGAGTCGCTTGTGGCAAGGGATATGTTCTTAATTTAGAGCCCAATGCGACGGCCAAATGTGTTCGAGGAAGATGGAAACCAGAGAAACCCATATGTGAAATTCGTGAGTAAACACAGCATCCTACAATTCGGAATGAAACCCAAAATCTTATTGTCATGCGCATGGATAATGTCAAAAAATCACAATGGTCTATAAATTTTAATTACAAACGTTTCTTCCAGAATCATGTCATGTGCCCTCCACTGAATACGGAATATACACAATGTCACCAAGTAATGCGGGAAGCTTGGTCTCTGGACTAAATCAAGGTGATGAAAAGGAGTTAAATGAAACAGATCCTGTACCAAATGGTCAAGTGGTGCATTTTTCTTGCGAATATGGGTAAGAATAGTATTTTTTGATATTGATGATAGATATGAGCCATAATGCTTTAAAGAAAGTATAAATTTAATATTATATTATATCTAGATATAACGTACAAGGACCTACAAATCTACGCTGCTGGCTCGGCGAATGGGCAGTAACTAGTATGCCAGAATGTGTTGCAGGTATCCAAAAATTTGAATATATGAATTTTCATTAGAATAAAACACATTGCAAATAAGAATATTATAGACTTTGCAAACATCCACATACATATATTTTAGCACTCCTTTACTTACAAGCTTTTAGAATTTCATATAATTTACACTACACATGTAAGTCCTACATCACAAAATGAAATAATTGATCCAATATTATACACAATAGTATACGTATGATAAAATACACTATTTAAAACCTCTCCCCTTACGCTTTCACATAATTTATCATTGGATTTGGCGTTCAATTTTTATAAATATTAGTTATGCTTTACGCATGACTAATATTTTCTCAAATTTAACCCACCAGCCCCGTGTGAGCTTCCAATCCTGCATGGTGCCACATATGAAGCAGGTTACAGAGCAGGTCTGACGGTAGCACATGCGTCGTCAGTAAACATTGCATGTGAACTTGGACGATCACCACCCGCTACGTTAAACTGCCATTTGGGAAGATTGCAACCTACTGTACTCGATTTTTGTAGACCTTTAGGTTTGTATTGCCACTTGCATGACACCCACCACACTAAATGAATTTATTAAGCAACTAGCGATTTAGTTTTAAAGATTAGTATAGATTTCTCAGAGATGAGATATTTCCCCGCAGTAAAAAAAGTTACTTCATCAAAATCTGTCCAGTGGTTTTCTCGTGATGCGTTCTCAGACAGGCAAACATATACACAGAAAAAAATTCTAAAAACTATAGATTCAGCCTCTGTACCTCAAATAATGATTACTTCAATAAGATTTTCCAAAAACAAAAATGTACAGATTCGACTCCGTTAGAATTTTATTATATGTATAGATAAATCAATTAATTGAATTTACCATTAGTCTTCTATTAACGAGTAGAACAAAATTATCTTAACAAGTTACTGATAAAAATACGTAAAATATATAAAAAATTCCAGCTAATTTAAGTCGTCCACGACCAACGTCAGAATATCAGAGTGGTTCAGATATAGTTAGAGAAGACATCAGCGAATTGGAACCTGATTTGCAAGGAAAGGAGGTCGTAGAGTGTGGACCGCCGGCCAGGTAAAAGAATTTCCATGAAATACTTTTAAATGTTATTGGAATACATAAAACTAAGAATATATTTTGCCTTATAAAATATTATATTTTTGGATTTTTTTAATAAGCAATATATATGTACATCAAATTATTAAAATTGAAAATAGCAAAGTTTTAAAGTGATTTTAATGAATTTTAGATAGGTATTAATTTTGTAGGCAAAATAGATTCGATACCTGATATAAAATCTTTGTTGTAATTTTTATAAGTGCGCTTTCATTGTAGCTTTTGTGTGGGTATTTTTATTTTTACAATGGGCATTTTTATAAAAGTTACTAATATTGTTGTAAGAGCCCATTTGGAGCTTGTCCTCAATATCAAATTTGCAATGACTTTAAATGTTTTTAAATAGACACAAATTTAAAATGGTGCAATTAACTTGGTGTGCTTTAAACGCATTCAGTTATTTAATTTCGTTTATTTTATGTTTGCCTATTTTAGTAAATAAAAAAGTGAGTTCAAATTGTGTTCAAACTTGAATTTGAACACAATTTGACATACTCACATGAAACCCAACAAAAGATGGGGAGCGACAAAAAAATAATATTTTTGCAAAGTCTGCGTTTCTTATTTGCTGGCTGGAAAGACTGAAGGGAACCCAGGCGTTCAGGGATGCCAAGCCCTGGTGAGAGCCTTCTAGGTTCGGACTTTTGCTTTTGTAACTTCATCATGTTTCTGATCATCATCATTCAATTCAATAGCTTCATCACTTTTATCTTTATCACTATCATCGGAAACGTCACTCTATTCGGTGACTTCTTTTAAAACTATTTAATTTCTTCAATAAAACTTTTACATACATTTGGTTTTCTAGATTTATTCTTTGACTCGGTTCTATCGTTTTAACGATATCGAAATCCTCAGAAGGCAGGGCTTAGTTTAAAATGTTATATGCGTGAAATTAATCACTAATGAGACAGCTACATCGCTGTTTTTGGCTTTTTCCTTTCTGTCTTGGCCGAGCTTGCGTTATGTTGCGATTTTTTGGCGAATTAATAAGTATCATAGTGCATGCCGTTTAATCACAAATAAGGGGGATTTTTTTAATTTAATATTTTGACTCTACTTTACTGAACTGATTCATTTTTTTCTGATAGCGATAAAGTTAGGTATTTTTAGTTTACCTTCCCAAATTCCAATTTTATTAGGGTGCAGGGAACTCTTATATATCGAGATGGATCAGAAGTAAATGAAACTGTTGAAGTTGATGGGTATCCTCATGGAACTGAAGTCACGTTTCGGTGTATTGCGTCTATTATGGGAGAGAAGACTACTTGGAAGTTAATTTGTGAACAAGGAAACTGGGTCGGGAAAAGTTTTAACTGCGGTAAGTTTGTGCAATTTTAAACTGATACTTCGATACAAATTAAAAAATATTATATCAACATCAAAATTTTCACTGTTATGCACTCTTATGAATTGATATAATTTGTATTTTTCACAGAAGACCTAGAAGCTCAAAGTGAAGAACTCCTTAGCAACAACAGTTGTACATTTCGCAATGAGGAACCCCATGTTGTATCCTTCTTCAATGATTTAGAAATTACCGAAACCGTCGATTTTCCACCGGGTTCAGTAATAATTTCAAGGTAAAAAAATATATGTTTTTATTCAATGTCACTATATATATATATATATATATATATATATATATATATATATATATATATATATATATATCTCACATAAATTCCGGCGTAAATGGATCAAATTGACATCTATTACTCAAATATTATATCTAATTTAAATATATATCTATAATCTATTCTAATAATTGATTTTTTTTAAATTTGGGGCTAATAAAAGTATAGTTCATGATATAGTATAAAAAAATTACAGATGCAGTGATGTTGGTAAATATGCAATGACTGGATCACAAGTGCGAAGATGTGTCGGAGGTTCCTGGGACGGTGTAAAACCAACTTGCTTCGGGCTAAATCAAGAAAACGACTATGCTAGTAAGTCATAAACTTAATATATCATAGAGAAATATAGCATACAAGAAAAACTGCATGTTTCCAGAAATCATAAGATTAAAACATTCGAATTAAGTAAAATGGACAAATCTACTAAAATAACCCGCTTCTTTAGTGTTTAGTTGTTTAAAAAAGTAATACTTATTGTACTGTACAGTAGAGAGCTTTTTCTTCTATTTTAGAAATGAAGCTTTATTTCTAAGATTTACATATTAATATATCAAGATATAATTTTTTCCGGCTTTATTAAAGTAAAATGTGTTTTTAATAACAGAATTGATTTAGAAGACAATAATTCTGTATTAAATACTCTTTCGGTAAATTGGTCGTTTGGAGCAATAAGCACTAAAGCAAAACATAAAAACTTTAAATTATTAAAATTTCCAGTGGAAAAACCGCCAACAATACTATTCAGACATTCCCAGGGACCAATTGCGCAAACGAACGACGGTAAACTATTAGTATATCCTGGAGCAGTTTTACATATGGAATGTTTATGGATGAGGAGGTTTGGTAACCCAAAATGGAATGTAACACATCATGATCCTGAGTAAGTATTTATTTATATATAATTACTTTATTTTTAGGTATTAGATTGCTTTGGTAGGCAGTGGTAACCCAGTGGTAATACGCTCGCTGGAGAAACCAAGTGAAGCGGGTTCAGCACCTCTGATATTTTCATGTGCAAATCTTTTCAACTTATATTACAGTACCGAAAAACATTGTAAGAGAACCTACATAGCTGAGAGAACTTAGCAAGTATTTGAAAGACGTGTAAAGTCCGTCAACCCGTACTTGGCCAGCGTATTGGATTATGGCCTGATCCTCCTCGCATTGAAGGGGCCCAGCTGTGGGAAGTTAAAAAGGGCTTAATACAGATAGCTTTTTCTCCATAATTATTTTTATATTATAACTAGTTTTAAATAAATATTACTTAATTTGATTACAAATATATCCATATTATTATCAGATCTGATAGAAAATATACAGAAGGTTGGACGACAGACCCTGGACGAGATAGTAGCTTAGAATATAGGCTTAGCATTATGAACGCTGTAAAAGAAGATTCTGGAATATATCGATGTGAAACACCAGCCCGACAGAGCCATCAAGTTGAGATTATTGTTGAAGGTATAGAATAACTTAAAACCTAATAAATATTAGGTCAAATGGTCAAAAGTGCTCATAATAAGTCTAATTAATTGAAGTTCCTTTCATTCCATCTATTTGTAACATAAACTATTTACAATATAATAAAATTAGAAAAGCTATGTATTTTACCGTGATGAAAGCTCTTGATAATCAAAAGTTCTTTAATCCAAGTCCTAGATAGCAAATGCTTTCTCTCAGTGAAAATTCATCAATTGCTCTTTTTTTAATAGATTCATTATTACAACAGGCAAAATATTTCCAGATGTGCATTGCCCACCACTGCCGATCCGTCGAGGGCTCGTTGCGAGTACTTCCGGCACGCAACTCGGCACTGAAATCAAATTCTCTTGTGCTAACGGCAACGCTCTACTCGGTTCGCAGACGCTGGTGTGCAGAGCTTCAGGAAACTGGAGTGCACCTTTGCCTGTGTGCGAAAGTAAGTGTCTTAGACTTCATTTATTTATGTACTCATCCATGACTTTTATAAATACAATGTATATGCCACCTGAGTAAGTACAAATTTGATACTATGAGCTTAAAGGTTCCGACCTACATGAAAACCTTTTAACGTTTTTCAAAGGTGTAGAATGCGGTGAGGTGTTACAAGATATGCCTATTAGAGAAGGCGAGAGAAGACCCCGAGTAGCTGTAGTATCACGCGGGGTGGGAGGAAGAGCAGCTTTCTCTTGTCCCCCAGGCTGGGCTTTAGACGGTCCCACGGAGACTGTGTGTTTACCGGCAGCAGATTGGTCAAGACCATTCCCTGTTTGTAAAGGTGATAGATTTTAGTATTCGTGTTATTCCTGTTATAATAAGTATTGTAATAATAAAGAAATCTACAGCTTAAATGTTTTTACTAGATTTTGAAACCTAGTAAACACGTAATATAGATAACATGCAAAAAGTAATGTAAAGGTAAGTTTTACTAGATAATTTATCTAAATGCAATATCAATAAATGCGCGTCACAAAGTGATTGGCAAATGGGCAGGGAGATGATGATTTACTTCAGTCTACGTTTAAATTCTAACAGTCTTAAAACAGAGATTGTGTAAGAAAAAACAAAAAGCACTTTAAACCGAATTTAGACTGTTGCTTCCAAAATCTCTCAATAAATTCAAAATGTATAAAAGAATTTAATATTATATTTTTTTCCAGAGGTTTCCTGCCCAGCATTGCCTCCTCCAGCATCTGGGTACGTGCTAGGAAGGGCACCATATAGAGCTGGTGACGTACTCCAGTTCCACTGCAACCCTGAGCATACGCTGCACGGTCGACCGATACTTGTCTGCCAAGATAGTGGACGATGGAGTGATAAGCCACCGACATGTATGTGAATAGTAAATACACTTTTTTATATTCTTGGCGAGCAACAAAAGGCATATCCGTACCATCCTTTTCTCGAAGCCATTCAGGACTTTTTTGACCCGCTTCTGACTTCATTGTGGATAAAGTTAGAAGCCCGAACTTTCAGTGATTAAGAGGAAATAATATAACTAGGTATACTCCTAAATTACATTTAAATTGAACCTGCAGTTTAAGAACTATTGCAGGAATGAGTTCAAGGAACTCATTGTTTTGGATAGTCCAAATATCAATACAACTACGTTCTGGCCATACTCAGTTAGATACGCATTTAGTACAAAATATTAGGTTTCTAATAATGAAATTGGAAATCTTCTTTCAAACAGGTGCTCAAGCTTGTACGTATCCAGGAACAACGATATCAGGTCGTATGTCATCAGTCAAGTTTTACTACAAAATTGGCGAAACTATCTCTTTCACTTGCGAGCCTGGATATCGACTCGATGGGGCAACTATGCTCAGATGTCTCAAGTATGTACACTACATATTATGTATCTTATATATAAGACATATATGTATTTCGTGTATTTAAATACTTCTATACATATAATAAAATTGTAACTAAGCTGAATCTGTACATTCTTCTTCATCGTTCTTATTAAAATAGACATTATTTTCGATACAGATGCCAATTAGTTTTTAGAATTTTTGTCTGTCTGTTACCGCATCACGGAAAAACCACTGGAGGGATTTCGATGAAATTTGATATGGTGATAGCTGGTTATCCGGGTCAACATTTAGGATACTTTTACCGCGGGAAAATATCTCATTTCTGAGAAAATATTCAAAAACTGCAATGTAAGAGTTTCCTAATATGTAAAACCTAAGAATTTGGTTTTTGGTCATCTGAACGCGGGCGGAGCCGCGGGCAATGCTAGTCTAAATATAAAAAAGTAGATGTCAATATGTGGGACTAATTAATAGTTGGATGTCACGTAGGATAAGTAGATAATTATTGTATTGCAATATTGTTAACAAATGTTATTTTAAAAGAGCAACTGTTGAGTTTCTCGCCGGGTCTTCTCAGCAGAACTGCCTTCCGAGCCGGTGGTAGATTCCTCACGGACTTAAACATTGATACGTAACGAATCAAAAGTGCTTGTAAAATTTGAATAAACTCTTGTCTATTTGAATAAAGTATATTTTGATTGATTGGTTGAAATTGTAAAAATCTTTTTAAAATAATTTTGGTTCACTAATATTCATATTTTACTATTTTATAATTATTATGATAACGTTTTTAACGTCAATTTAATATTTAGATAAAAAGATATTTATCAAAATAAAGTCAAATATACTCGATGGAGTCAGGATGAGTGTTCCATAGGCACATCAAAATCTTATTATGGTTAGGTTGATATAATTTATTTGCGTAATATAATATAGGGTTTTTTATTTTTTATTTGAGTAAGTCTAATTAATACCAACAGACATACGTCCGTGCCTTTTTTGGAGAATTTTATATTTTGTTGCTAATTTTATTTTATTTTATTTGAGATGGATTCGTGCGTGTACAATTTTAGAATCAAAAGATTTTGCGAACAAAAAAAGTATAGGGTTTTTATAACATGTACTAAATTATTTTTATATATGCGCGTCCGTATAGGATATGTTTCTTCACCGACTATGCTGTACTCCAAATATTATACACATTGTTAGTATATACTTAAATCGCAATCTAACATATTTGCTCTGAAATTTCAACAGGAACAGAAAATGGTCGAACTCCATACCCCTCTGCACACCCATAAGCAACTACACCTCCGACACCATCGCGATGTTTAACGGAGACATCGACGCCATGTTGTCAGACGATGCAATTTTGACAACTGACATTTTAAAAAGGCGCGAAACGCCGGCCATCTTGTCACCACAAAGCTATAAAGCTGCTATGACACGGATGGCAGCAACTCGAATGTTACGAAGATCGCCATTAGAGACTTACAAAAACAGAATTTTTAGAGTAAATAGATTATTAAGGAGAGACACGGAGAGATAATTATTAAGTGCATAGTGGAGTATAATCTTCTGGTTTTATTGTGCCAAAATATTCTCCTTTTTTATTTAACGCATATTAATTTTACTAATTTCTTAACTGTGCGAGTTCCTTAATATTGTATAATTATGTAATTACAATAATCTAATATTTATCAAAAAAATATTCTAAGCAATAATTATTGTGTTCAAAGTTTTATTTATATGAATTATGAGCATATCTATTATTATTTTTTACCTGACGTAGTCCAAAAAGCAAAAGTAAAAATGATAAAAAAACAAAAATTGATCAATAACTAAAACAAACCAAATGCTCTTAAACGTTTATCTTTAATTAATATATGTATAAATAATTAATAAGAAGTATTCTGTATTATACACATTATTTTTACAATTCTTATAACATACTTTTTGTAGCTTAAATATTTTTTTAAACTTAGTGAGTATACCTTCACTTATGATTTTTTTTATTTCTTTTTTACTTAATTAGACCTCAATTTTTTTACATTAAAACCTACATTAAGGATTTGACTAAAGAGACTAAATCTATAGTTTTATTATTAATAATAAGTAGGTAAAATTAATTTGTATAATAGTTTTAACATGTTACCTCTGAATTTTTCTTGTTTTTATTATATCATAGACGTAACTAGAATTTGGTGTTAGTTGAAATAGCATCTTCTGGAAAACATGACATTATTCTTTAATAGTTCATATTTCCAACAAAATCTAGTTGTTTCTATGCTTGTATTAAATTTTTGTATATGTAAATAAAATACGCTTCGCCAAAGATATTAGAATATCTGTTGAATAGTCTTTATATTTATCTAGATAATAATTATCATAGTTAAGTATTAACAAATGTAATTTTAAAATAGTAGGTATTACGTAAAGTTAATTTTTATTAAAAAGCTAGTTCTACACAGCGCACAAATTTGGAACAATTTTTGATCGATTCTACTGTTATATTTTAGCTCATGGACAGCGAAATAATAAAAAATGGTGTAAATAAATTTTACAACTAACTAACATTTAAATACAGATGTGAAATTTCAACGACAAAAGCATAGATTAACTAATATATATTGGTATCTGTAAAAACAATCACGTTTTTATTGTCTATGAGCTGAAATAAAAAAAAGTATGCATATCAAAATAAATCGCATATCTTAACGTACTTCAATTAAACTTTTCAAATTTCAAAAACAATGTCATGTTTTTAAACATGTATAGGTTTTCCTAAAACTAATTATAATAATTCTGTTCTCTACCATAAATATGATTGCGGATAAATTTAATAAAAATATAAGAATAAATATTGTTTTTTTTCTTTTCAAATTGTTGGATTTTTCTGTTAAGAAATACTCAATAACAACCCGGAGTTTGATAGTTGGCGGTTTTTTACCCCCTATTCTCGGAGCGTATCGGTTCTGCGCCTCATCTCTCACCGCCAATGTCGAGTTGACTTTTTTTCTCAAGTTAAAGTTTGGTCCTATAAAAATTAAAAAAAAAACTACCCTAAGGATGGACTATTAAAGTGACTTTCATGTCGTTCTACCCTATATTAACGTAGGGAAATGCATTTACGTATACCACCTGCATATATATGTATAGGTGGTATTTTTTTTAGTTGTTGCAGCTGTAGTATCACTGCGAACAACCTGGTCTATTCTGATCGCCGCATGTTGAACTAGAATAAGCCACTGAATGCTGCAGCTGAAATATCCACACTCCCCCAGAAGATGAAGTGTCGTTTCATCTGTCTCCATACATCTTCTGCAGGTTTGTGTGTTACTCAACCTTAGGTTGAACATGTGCTTGTTTAAGAAACTGTATACTGTAAGGGCCAATATGTGTAAGAAAACGTAGGTGGATATGTGGAACCCATCGGCCAGAAAAGCCAGTACTACCCACTAAAATCCTCGGGCTAAATTAACGAGGCCTCGCAGCTCGGTCCACTTTGCTGTCAGTGAAGTACCAGGAGCAACCTGCATGGTACACTGACCAATGAAATGGACTACCTCCCAGTGTCAATGCCGGACACTAAACCCTGTCACTCTATACTCCGGTGGGTCGACTACTTGACAAGACATTAGACAATACAAAGTAAATAATAATTATTTATGGCAAAGAATTTGTTCAAATTTAGAAAGTGAATTTCCAAACATACCTTTCGGAATATCGTAAATAAAATATAAAAATAAAACCATGAAAAAAAATCGAAAACAACTCCATATACGAGTATATTCACGAATTTAGGTATCGAGGTAAATTAAAGTTCTTACAGAATAACACTACAGCACATATTAAACACTAAGGGCCCATGAATATCGATAATGTGTTAACATGGTGCACACTTATTTGCAAACCATATTAGTGCGTGCTCGCTAATTACGGCTCCTCGATGCACGTATACAAGTACCATGTATAAATACACAGTAGTTCAACGATCTTAATCATGGCGTAATAGACGTAATTATTTATAGCTATTACAATCAAATAAGCTCTAAAGTTTAGTAAATAAGCAGAATTCTTGGTTTAAGCTAATACTTCATAACTAAAAAAATATTTAATATTATATTACTGTTATATTTCTCCCAAGTTGATTCCCCATACAAACTTTCATCGCCATTTTTACCCCCTTAATGGATGATTTCCAGGATAAAAACTATCTTACATCCTTTCCAGGGTCTCAAACTATCTTTTTACTAAATTTCAACTAAATCGGTCCAGTAGTTTCGGAGCTTATTCGGTACAAACAAACAAAAAAATCTTTCCTCTTTATAATATTAGTATAGATATAAAAATGTTACAAGTAAAACTATCCAGCGAGAGCCTAAAAATAGGATCAAAAATCGTAAAGCCAGCAGAGAGTACCAAGGAAAGAAAGATATTTAATGAAAATATACTTTATGGGCCATGGACTCGCTTGGGAAACCGAGTGTAGCGAATTCAAATCCCGGATCTCGCACCACTGATATTATCATGTGTGAATCATTTCCAACATGATTACCACTTGTCTTACGGTGAAGGAAAATATCGTGAGGAAACCTGAATGTCTGAAAGAACTTGGCAAGTTTTCAACAGACATGTGTAGTCCGCCAACCCGCACTTGGCCTATGGCCTGATACCCCTCGTATTGGGCCACCCGTGTCCAGCAGTGGGACGTTAAAAAAAGAAAACGGCTGAATACATATTCAATTAAGTATTCAATAAGCACTTGATACTAGATTCAATTACAAACTCAGTATTTCAACAAAATATTTTTAAGATATAAACTATGGTAGGTATATATTTAAATATATTGGGACATTAACACACAGCACCATCTAGTTCCATGATAAGCTACGAGGCTTGTGTTATGGATACCAGATGGTTGATACACTACACATATATAACTTTCAATATATACATATTATAAATATATTTAAGTAAATAGTGAACGTTGTCTATAAACGACTTACCAGTATTCTAAAACTAACCTAGTGCAATGTGACCTTTGATACTTGAAATTGTAAAGGATGAGCGATTAAAGCATCGAATACCATTGGCTTGCCTTTTGGTACATTCAAATACTTATTGCAAAATCATAGTTATCGAGTTACATACGTGTGTATGCAATTAGGCTGCAATCTTACCTATTAAACTTGCAAAATATTAAAAACATAAGTCTTAAGTTTTTTTTTTAAATATGTTATAGATATACTTTAAAACTAATCTATACTAATATTATAAAGAGGAAAGATTTTTTGTTTGTTTGTTTCTTTGTACCGAATAGGCTCGGAAACTAGGTACTAAACCGATTTAGATGAAATTTGGTTAGAAGATAGTTTGAGACTTTGGGTAGGACATAGGATAGTTTTTATTCTGAAAATCATCCCTTATAGGGCTGAAAATGGGGATTAAGGTTTGTATGGGGAAGCAACCTAGGGACAAACCTGAGCGAAGCGAGGGTGAGTCGCCAGTACGAAATATAAATAAACCATAAAGTTCAGCCCACCCTTATGAAGTAGGTACACCTAGCACGGAATTTTAAAAAACAATAGGTAAATAAAAAAATTTCATTCCTGAATGAGAAACTACCATTGCCGTATTAAATTAAAAAAATAAGAAATAATTTTATATATGTCGCAGATAGATTGCCAAATCAGCTGTTTTACAAAACCGCTAGTTGTTTTACATAATAATTCCGTTATGTAAAACAACTAATCGATGTTTAGCTGCATTGCCATTGCGCTAGTTAGTTGCGCATAGTTTTTGATTGCAGGGGTTCTGGGGTTGAAATAAAAAAAATGACCTAACGAGTAGGCTAAAGCGGTGCCTATTTCAAGCCCAAAATCTCTACTATTAAAAACTACTAGCGCGATAGCAATCCAGCTGAATGCTGTTCAGCTGTTTTGTAAAATAACTTATAGTTTTATAAGCTATTCTGCATAACGTCTAAACCTGGGTAGCAGTTTTGTAAAACGTTTTATAAAACAGTGGATTCGACAATTCATCTGCGACATATTATCACCTCCAGGTAAATTTCTAAGAAATTAATTAAATTTCTAAGAAATCTATTGTTAACTGTAACGCCGGCGTGTCCGCGGTCGTGGAGTGATTAATAATTACAGATACATTTATTCTCTACTATTCCAACTTGACATCAACTTACAATCTACTTGTTGTCCTCTTGCATGGTAGATACATGAATGTTAGTCCTTGTACTAATCTATAGATCTATATCTCCAAACCAAATTTTACTTAAAACCGTTGAGCATTACAACGTGAAGAAGAAACAAACACACTTTGAACTTTCACATTTATAACATATTGATATTATAATATAAGTATATACCCAGCTTTTATGAGTTTCTTCTACACGAACATTTTAAAGTAATAAAGTATCCAATACCTGTACATATCTTCGCCCACGTGAGTTCTTCATAATCATTAAACATAAGATACACTAAACATGATAGTGCGTAGTACCGCTGCCCAAACTGTATTTTTAAATCT